GTCATTGAATTGCATCGTGTGTCGGGTCGGGAAAACGTCCCCGTCCGGGACGGGAGATTCGCACAAGTTTCGCGGAAAACTTCTTACCGCGATCGGGTAATCCAGGTATCAAATACCGGGACGCCGCGAGTTTAGAAGAGGATCGACGCAGCGGTTGTGTCGCGCCGCGAAGTAAATCGACGTGGCCGAGCGCTGATTGATCGATCGGCCACGAGAAAAACGTTCGTGTAACGGTACGATTTGAGAGGTGGCTTTACCCTTCGTGGAAGCGGCCTCTCTCGCCGAGCCCGATGTGGCCTGAATAGAGTCTCTCGTGTGTATATAAATCTGCCTCCGCAAGGTTTTTATCAATCCGTGTGCCCCCGGGGCCGCCGATCGATCGATCGGATCGCACGCCGCGAATCTCCGCCGGGATCCCAGAGTCGAGTTTGACCATGTCTTCGTCGTCGTCGTCGTCGTCGTCGGTCAACGGGGTAAATGTCGGACGCACGTGCGTGTAGTACACGAGCGCGGCGGGCCGCAAGAAACGAGCGCGCCTCTCGAGTCCTGATTTATTGCCGATCGCGAGAGAAACGGCCGAGATCGCGGAGGAGAAGCCTGCCTCCCTCCTCGCCGCTCTCTTCATATGCGCGGGCGTTGTGAAGCGTTTTTGCAATCACGACATGTGTGCGCCGGGAGGATTTTTCTATAAAGCGATCTCTTCTTATTTTGAAAACCGGGCTTCGAGGTTTTGCGAACACGCGTGATGCAGTCGCCGCTCGATCTTCATCAAAAATAACTAAGTACAAAAAATAAAAATAAAAAAATCAAATTTCCGAGATTTGAATCACGGTCGGATTGTATGGTACGCGCGCGTGAAATTAACGGAGAAAATAAACTTGAACTCCGAGAAAGTTGCATTTTATTCAAAAATATACATAAAAACTAAACAAGCTTTTATCTTTGTGTACATTTGCAATCAGAGTGGAAGCCTGACTCGGAAGATACGCGCTCCCCCTTGACATCTTCGTGTGATTAATATTCTCAATATCACTGATTTGATGAATTTCAGCGACAACGACGAGACGAGCTGCACCGGAGACGGTGTTCGTCTTCGATATCTATGTATCGTTTGGACGTTCGCGCAAAAAGCGCGACGCGTGCGGATGATGATAATAATGATAATGATGCGATCGTCGCCGACATAGATCGCAACATACATAAACGTTTCTAGCCGGGAAGATGTGTATCTCCGTCGCGAGATAACGCGCTGTCGGAAATTTCATGTCGTTAGCCAAATTGTTGATTTTAAAGGAAATCGGCGCGAATTTGTTTTTTTTTTTTTTTTTCGAAAAAGACGCTCTGTGTGTTGCAAATTGCCTTTCCAGCCGCGGCCGGAGGAAAAGACACGCGCAAAATGCGTGAGTCTCGTGCGGGAAAGTATATCGCAACCGGTGAAGGAAGTGTGTAACATGTACATATCGCGCCAGTTTTGCTACGATGTAAACTCATTTTAAAAGAAGAGTGCGCTTTGCCGCGGCGAGATTATTACGCGTAATAATATATTCGTAGGTTGCCTTTTCTGTGGATGGAAAAACAAACAAAAAAAAAATTAAAAAAATTAAAAAAATCCTATTCCGGATAACAACGTTACGTCGCCGCGATTACGAAGGCGCGATCATAGAAAGTCGCGCGTTACAATCTATGCTGTGCTCAAGAAACAGTGTTTTCTAACTGCGTTCGATTTTCTATGATATGTCCCGCGCTTTTATCGGCGCGCGCTACTTTCATTTCTTTTAATTATCAATCAGAAATAATTACTCGCGAATCGCGCGCGCCGCACAAACGACTCGACGATAAATCGACGCGACGATCAATGCGAGAGATTCTACATTTTGTTTATTACATTTCCGTTTCTTGCACAATTCAGACTTCTCTCTCTTTCTCTCTCTCTCTCTCTCTCTCTCT